AACATGGTGGTCGGCCCGCTTGTGCAGTCAGTCCACGCAGGAACCCCGTCCCGCCGACTACCATCTGGGAACGCGATGCTGCGGTTGGGGACACTGCGCAGTCAGCCCGCGCAGTGAGGATGGGCAGCCTTCCCCAGGGTACCCTCACATCCTTTCCCCTGTGGCCCGTCCTCAGTGAAATTCGCCGGCCAATTCGTTCGAACTAAATCAACACGGAACACGGGCTTCCAAGACCTTTGCATCCTTACCGCGCAGCCTAACTATACGGGTTGCCTGTACTTTGGTGTTTCGAAGTGTTCTTTTCCGGCGGCGGGCGAGGGAGGGAAATGAGAAGGAGAAGGCCTTCACAGAAGGCGGCGTGACTTCTCGGAAGCCCTCGCGCGTTCTGCACAGTTTTTTCTGTGTCTTTGGGTAAGGCTCAGACAACTCCCCAGACGGCTGGGGGACTTTCGAGCCTTCTGGGAGGGCCCGCCCCTTCTCACTTCCCCCCGGCGCTCGCCGCTAAGTTTTGCACACCGGCTCCACCGCCAACGCCCCAGCCACCACCACTGACCCAGCTCCCCCCTTCGGAGGAGGGCCGGCCGAGCGAACGGCGGCCCTCCCGGGCGTCTTCCGTCCGTCGTGGGTCTCCTGGAGGCTTCTCGTAGCCGCCACGGCTGGGTCCGCTTCGAAGCGAAGAACGGCCCCAGGATGGGCTCCGGGATGGGCCCCAGGATGGGCCCAGCCAGGGGGCGATTTCGAGGGGATGCCTTGGGCGGGAGACGTGGTTTCGTGTCGGGGGGACGTTCGGCAAGTTCGTGTTGTGACGGCTCGTGTGTTGTTCTCTGAAGCCGACGTGGATCGTTCAAGCTTGAACGATGAGGGCTTCCGATAGCGCGTATTGTTCGATAGCGACCGCCGCGTACACACGATACGATTCTCCGGTAAATGGTGCGCTGGCGGCAGAGGTGGGGCCGGAAGGGGAATCATACTAAAGCACCCCTTGGAAGAAGGACATGTAAGCAACCCACGCCGCAGCCACCAATCCGGAATTTTTGACGCGTATCACCAGCCTATCCAAAACCGACGCCCAGGTGAGTTGAGACGATCAGGGAAGTGTAGGAGCAAAGAGGAGGACAGCCGTCATCGCTCGAAGCAGGAAGAGGAGCAGGAGGAGGAGGAGGAGCAGGAGGAGGAGGGTAAGGAGGAGGAGGAGGTGGAGGAGGTGGGGTAAATTCGAGAAATTCGAGAGGCCACCATTTCGCAAATTCGAGAGGCCACGTCCGCGTAGGCGGATCGACTCTTATTCACTCATCATTGCCTGAGGGAAATCGGTCTCCAGGGACGTTGGCAGGCGCCAGTGCGGGCCCACTGTGGGGCCAGAATCTGTCCATATAGCCACCGCCCGCTGGGCTCCCCGAGCGTCGGCGGGCGGTGAATCTAAGGATAGATCCCCGCCTCGGAGTGCTGGACATTCGTGCGTTCCTAAAAAAACTTTGGGGAGCATCTTGCTGGTGCGCCAATGCCCCAGACATCCGCCGATATGATTTTTGTCAATCTGCGGCTCCAGAGGTCCCAACCGCTTACCCAGGGGTAGTTTTTTTCGCCTTGGATCCGTTTCTGATGAAGTCCCAGCCCAAGAGTGGGCCCCATGGGCCGGGGCCCCAGGAAAACCCATCGGCTGAACAAGAACATCTCGTCGGAGACTTGGGTTCATGTCCATTAATGCTCCAGCCACCATTCCTGAACTTCGAACAGCAACGATTTGCAGAAAGCAGCCTCCCCGTTATTTGGGGAAGACGGCGTCGGACGGGGCTAGGAGGAGGACAAATCCGTTCCAGAGCGTTCCGGAACTCTCTGGAACGGATTTGTCCGCGCCGCTCGAGAAATCCTCCAGAGCCGCCGGATCACAGAGATTCCCGATGTATTCTCGCCCGATTTTAATTTCGTCCTGGCTTCGTCATACGGCGGTGCTCTCAGGGGGGTGGCGCCTGGGGGGGGGGGGCGGCGGCCTTCTGTGCAGGCGGGGGAGTCCTCCGAACTGGGTTTTTTCTCACGAGGGCTACAGTCAGCCCGCATAGTAATGATGGGTGGCAACATTCCCAAGGGTGCACCTGCACCATCGCCCCTTTCGGCCCATCCTTAGCGACTTTCGCTGGACAACCTCGTTCGAAAAACGTTCACATGGACCTCCAAGACCCTTGCATCCTGACCGCGCATTCTTATGATACGGATTGACTGTATGCTGAGAACCCTTGGCCACCCGACGGGCCAGATCCGTTCCGCCCGCCGCCCCCGCGGGCCCGGCCTCGGGACCTGGGCGTTCCGGTCCGACCCCGCGCGGTCGCTGGGCAGGTCGGTCCAAGGTTCTAGGCCTCCTGGATGGGGTCGGAGCAAATGGGGTCGGAGGATCGCGCCGCATCGCCGATGCATTGCCGATGCGGCTCGATGCGGAGCCCGACTTTATTCGCGCTGGCGTCGACGACGCGCCGCCGACATCGCCGATGCATCGCCGATGCATCGCCGATGTATCGCCGATGTATCGCCGATGTATCGGCGATGCGGCGCGATCCTCCGACCCATCTACTCGGACCCCATCTAGGAGGCCCATGAAGGCAGGAGGGTCTGGTGCAGTCAACGCGCCTGGTGAGGACGCGCACTTTCGTCTTGGAATCCTGGTGTCCTCGCCCTGCGGCCCGGAATCCTTTTTTTTTTTAATGGCCGCCCGCCGCCCAAAGAGAGTCCCAACCTCGGCCTCCCAGGGTGTTGCGTCCTTACCACCCGTCCTTAGTATGAAGTCGGGCATGTCCCTCTACAGAGGAATACTCAACACTAGTCAATACATGATCTGGGAACGAGCGTTGTTCTGCAATGATTATTTTTGACTTTGCTTGAATATGTTTTGGCTATCCTTGGTTTTCGTCAAACATCCGCCTGTAGAAGGACATGATCGACCTAACCTTCGTACACGTTCTGACCGTAGCAGGCCGCGCCATTCGGTTCAGCCCCCTCGTCGCGTCACCAGCGCCCCAGCCGCCAGCTCGGAGCTTCCGGCAGGCCACGGCCGCGTGGGCGGAGCTCGCCAGCGCCACCTCGCGCTGGCGCTACGACGCGGAGCTGCAGGCGGGCCGCGGCCTCCTCGTGGGCCCCGCGCGGCACCGGTGCCTCGGGATGGGAAGAGCAGCACAGTGCGGCAGCCCGTGCATCCGAGGGGACGCGTAGGCGGAGCAAACGAACAGCCAAACGCTGTGGAGAGCGGCGACAGGCGAGAGATCACGGCCAACCGCTGGCGCCGAGGTGAAGATGGCGGATGACGACGGGGATAGATCAGATCCGCCTTTTACTCCATGTGGAAGAGGAAGGAGGTACCGGTACCGCCACCCTTCGCCATACGAGTAGATATCGACTACGGGATCGACTCGTCAGAGCTTCTTCGTCTAAGCATCGTAGATCTGAGGACCTTCGACGCATTGTTTTTGCAGATTCGACGGACAAGTCAAGCTGGGGGTAACGCAATGCTGCAGTCGATCCCCTGCCCCTCGCCACGAATGAAGCGGGGGCCCCTGGCGGGTCCTCAGGTGTCTCGCCGTGGGCGGCCTCCCTGGTGCCCTTGCCACAGGCCCCGGGAGGCCGTCAGGAAAGACGAGGCAGGATGAAGAGAACTCGTCATGGGGGAAGGTCCCGGGCTCAGTATCGTTCGACCGATCCCCATCCTAATCCCCATCTCCATCAAGATCCCCCCATCCCACCACCCCAATTGGGGATATGCCCCTAGATACCCCAATAGAGGAGTAAATCGGCCAGTGGGGCGCGGACCACGCCAGTGGGGATATGGATCGGTTTTACGATGCTCACGCGTCCACACTTCGAGTAGGAGATCGCCTACAGACTTGTTTGGCCCCAGACTTGAAAATGTAGGCGAACGTGACGTGGAGTGTTCGCAGATGTGCGACGAACACTTCCACCACGGGGCAGAGCTCAGTTCTGCCGTCGACCTCCTAAGCCTTTGCAAAGGTACCCTTGCTTCGAAATGGCCTTCCAAGGCCCTTGCATCCTTACGGCGCATCCTTGTGATACGGGTCGACCGTACTCGGCAGGGTCCAGGACCCGCGTTTTCCCCCTCCGTTGCCCGCTTTCTCTGTGGGTCTCCTGGGAGGCCCGAAGGTCTCCACGGCTGCCAGCATCCGCACCCTCTCACGTGACGGTCCGCGCCAGCGCCGTCTGGGAATGTTTCCGTCGGCGCTGGCGCGAAGCGTGACGCGACGGGGGTGGGGGGTGGGGTGGGGGGGCGGGCGGGCACTGGCGTTATCGCGAAATAGAAAAAAGGAAAAGTTGGCGTCAAGAGTTACCGTTGCCCAGGTTTCCATCCCCATGTCCCAGGGTCACGACCGCTACCGGGAATGTCCACAGGCAGCCTCTCGGTCGCCACGACCGGAGGCGCCGAACACGCCCCAGGAGGTCTGGGGAGACGCGTCATCTGTGGGCCTCCCAAGTGTTAGGTCGGGCCTGTCCCCCTACAGGCGGATTTTGGACGAAAAAGTAAAAATACCCCAAAAATATCCCAAAGATGTTCAAACATAGTCAAATAATCGTCCCAAGACAATTCTTTACTATTTTGGAACATTCCCCCTGTAGAGGGACAGGCCCGACTTAACCCAAGTGAGGTCCGAGTTGATGGGGTTGGAGGATAGCGCCACGTCGCCGACGTCGCCGACGCATCGCTGATACTCGGGCGAGGCATCGGCGATGCGGCGCGATCCTCCGACCCTATCCACTCCGACCCCAGTTGGGAAGCCCCTACAGGTAAGTCGGCCATGTCCCTCTATAAGGGTAACATTCAAAAATCGTGCAAACATAGTCTGGTGACGTTTTCATCTTTCATATCTAACGATGTCTACAGTTGATGGTGTTTGACAATATGTTGTGCTTTTCTTCCAAACTTCGCCTGTAGGAGTACATGCCTGACCTTACCCATCGGTCGTTGAAAGTAGAGATTTTTGGGTCCCCAGATTCCAATCCACTTTAAGCGCCTTCCTTCTTCAACGATCGAGTGGCTTCACATCTCCCCTCCTCTTCAGGGGGCGGCTGGGCACCCAATCTACTTCAACACCTTCTACTTCATGCTTCTACCTACAGTGGGGGCCCCTGCCAAGAAACACCCTGCTTGCCTCCAGGGTGCCCCGGGTTTCTTGGGCTCCGCTGGCTCTGCGATGGACATCGTGACGAACCCCCACACCGAAGACCCGTGGACGCCCTGGGATCTCAGGGTTGGGGCTCCTCGTGGAAGGCTTCTCCTGCAGACTGGCCTCCCCTGCGCACCTCTCTTCCGACCGCCGGGGGGCACCTCCGCAGGTGCCTGCCCCTGACCGACGAGCGGGCGCTGGCGGCCTTCGCCTCCGCGGCCGCCCACTGCGCCGCGGAGGGCCCGGCGCCTCCCGGCTTCGAGGGGGTGCTGCGGCGCGCGCGGGAGCTGGCGGCCGCCCCGGCGGCGGAGGCCCGCCGCCAGCACGGCTCGGCCACGTGCAGTGGGGGGGGGGGGGGGGCGGCAGGGGGCATCGCTTCGGTTCCTGTTCTCGAGCCGCTGCGGTGCGACTTCGATGGCAGGGGGCATCGCTTCGGTTCCTGTTCTCGAGCCGCTGCGGTGCGACTTCGATGGCTTCCGACTCCGATCCGATTCGGCTCGGGATTCCGATTTGGGCCCCGATTTCTGAATGGAGGCCTGCTAGGCTGCCGATGTCCGCCGATTCGACTTTTCCCGACTCGGCTTCCGATTTCTGGTGATCCGATTCATTTCGATCGCCGATCCGACTTATCGATTCGATTCTGGGGGCACCTGGGTACTTGGATAGGCGTAAGTCGGGATAGTAACAAGTTGTCTGGGGACGATGTGTCTTGGGCCATGTTTGATCATGTCTTGGCTATCTTTATGTTTCCTTCGATATCCGCCTGTAGGAGGACATGCCCGACCTAAGGGTAGGGGGAGGGGGGAGGGCTTCCTGGACGCACACCTGCTTCTCCGCAGGCGCGGGCCTCGCCTGTAGATGGAAGGCCGGCGCCTTCTCAGGAGCGGCCTCCCTCTGGGAAGCCTTCCCCCCCCCCCCCCCCCTTTGCCCCCCCTCTGCGCGCCGCCAAAGAGCTTTCGTCCATGCCCAGCGATTCGGAGTCGCGCCCCGGGACCTCGAGGAGCGGCGGGTGCGCACGTCCGGCCTTCCTGAGGAGTGCCCCGAGCCTTCTCCCGGAGGCACGGGGCACCGCTCGGAGGGCGCGAGGGCTTCTGAGAGGTCCCGCTGCCTTCTGAGAAGACCTTCTTCTTCTTCTTCTTCTTCTTCTTCTTCTTCTTCTTCTTATTTCCCTCCCTCGCTCGCCGCCGACACAAGCACAACGAAGTATAGTTTCGGCATGGCCTCATCGGGGAAGAGGGCACCGACCTCGGGGCGAAAAGTTGGGTTGTGGTTGTGGTCGACTTGGCCGTCCAGGGATGCCACACCGACTACAGCCAGCAATAAGCTGGCTTTGGTTTTCTGACGATTGCCGGCATGCGCAGGACATCCTCCAGGGTGTGTCTTCGAAGCGACCCACGGGGTATGGTCAAGAACTCTGGCTTACGGTGCTGCTCCGCCGGTTCTGGCCCACCACCACGGCGCGACACGCCGTCCACATCCCAGTTCCCGAGCGTCAAAGTGCCGAGCCTTTTCGAGCACTCCGCCCGCGGAGCGGAGCGACACGCTCTCCACTCGCAGAGCATAGCGTGTCGCCGCGGCCGCCGCCACGACACGCGAAGTAAAAGTTCCCAGCCGTGGCGCCCCGCAATCGCGGGTAAGAGCGAGAGGGCGGCGGAGTCGTCGGCAGTCTGCGAGGCTCAGAAGAAGCCCGCCGCAGGCGTCGATTCTGATCAACGTATTGCACCGGGAGCCTGCCGCAGGTGCCGGTTTCTCGGCAAAGCAACGGGGGTGGGTCGCGGGTGGGTCGCGGAGGATGGTCACGCGGTGGGTCGCGGGGGGGTCGCGGGCGAGGACGACAATAAGCAAACAACCAAACAAACAAACAACAACAACAATCGTTTTAATATTGTTCGCTCTTACCAGCTCGCGTGCCATTCAATATGTATATCCCAACCCTCGATACCCTCCCTTTTCGTTTTCGATCATACCCCCCCTGGTGGGTACATCCCCCGTACCTGCAGAGTGTTGGTGCAGCCTCTAAAACAGGGGAAGAGAGGACGGATGGAAGGGGGAGGGAGAAGGATGGAGTTCAGGATTAGCAGGAGGGGGGCAAGGAACAGAAAACACGTGGCAGAACCAGACGGGCTGATCGGGCCGGGTAGACCCAAACGGGCTGGTCGGGAAGGCGGGCCCAGGTGGCCAGGTCGAGCAGGCGGGTTGCTAAAGCGCGAGTATTGCATGGATCGCGATGAGGTCTCGAGCGGTAGCGCGATTCCCAAGTGAATCGCGACAGAAAACCAGAGCGAGAGCGCGAGTCTTGAGCGTCGCGGGCGCGGCGTTTGAATACTGTGTGAGGAAGTCCCACTCGAGAGCGCGATTCTTGCATACATCGCGAGGAAGTCCCACGGGAGAGCGTGACTTGAATATACATTGTGAGGAAGTATCATGCGGGAGCCGTTGTTGAATGTTAATTGCCTAATAGTTATTATTGTTGGACTCCCCCCCAGGTGCTTTGGCGCTCTCGCCTCGGCGACGGCTACATCTTCATTGAAAACGAAGCTCACGCTCGAGCGGTTTGGGGGGGGCGCCATAACCAGCCCCCCAATAACAACACCGCTCCCGCTCGAGACCTTCTCCTTTTTAACTCAGGGCTGGTGCTCTTGCTCGCCGCCGAAAGCCGCCGTCCCAACAAAACCAGCGCTTCCGCTCGAGACTTCCCCCCTTTTACCTTGGACTGGCGCGCCACTCTTTCTCTCATCGGCGCCGCCCCCAGCAACAACACCGCTACCGCTCGAGACTTCGTCCCTTTTTTACTCAAGGCGGTCCTCTTCCTCGCCGCCGCAAAACCGCCGACCCGACGAAACTAGCGCTCCCGCCCGAGACTTCCTCCCGTTTTGCGATGGACTGGCGCCCCACACTCTTTTGAATTGGCGCCGCTCCCAGCAAGAACAACGCTCCCGCTCCAGGTTTCCTCTCTTTTTCCTCAGGGCGGTGCTGTTCCTCGCCGCCGAAAGCCCCCGTCCCGACAAAACCACGGCTCCCGCTCGAGGCTTCCCCCCTTCTTACTTGAGGCGGTGTTCCTCCTCGCCGCCGGAAACCGCCGTCCCAACAAATCCAGCGTTCCTGCTGGAGACTTCTTTTTGTTTTACGCTGGACTAGCGCCCCACTCTCTGCAGCATTGGCGCCGCTCCCAGCAACAACAGCGGCCCTGCTCGAGACTTGTTCTGCTTCTATTCAGGGCCAGGTCCTTGCCTCGCCGCAGACAGCCCCCACCCCCACCAAGGCAATCCTGTCGCTCGATACTTCCTTGTGCTTTACCCTTGGCTGGGGCTCCTCCGGCGGTCTCGCATCGGCGCAGCAAGGCGCGGACATGTGTTTTCGAGGCGGGATGTGTTGAAATTCCTCGGAGGTGTTTGCAAGACCTGATTGGGCGGGCTATCTGGGATTGGGAATCACGGATCCCGCTATAGAACAAGAGTCCCCCATGATGGGGATGGTTATCATGATGGTCGCATGCTTCGTGCGGAAGCATCGCGCATGAGGATAACATGATTGTTGTGTTTGTTGTTGTTGATGATGTTGTCGTTGCTGTTGTTGCTGAAGAATAAGTATTGTTGATCCCCCCGCCCGGTGCACATGGTATTTTTGCGATTGAAATGCCCCTCCTGGGGCTCGCAGTTTTTTGCTTGTGCTAAAAAATATGATAATCAGCATGGAGAGTCTTGAGGCTCAAACTGTTTCATTGGCCCCTGGTTTACAACAACAACAATAACAACAATAACGGCTCCCGCCTGATATTTCTTCACAATGTATTGAAGAGTCGCGCTCTCGTGTGGGACTTCTTGGCAATTAACTACCGACCCGCGGTTCCCGCTTGATACTTTCTCACAGTGTATTTCAGAATCGTGTTCTCGCTTGGGATTTGTTTGCAACTTACCACCGAACCGCTCCGCTTGATATTTCTTCAAATTTATTCAGATGGTGGTCCTGACACTCAGGAATCGCTCTCCAGCTACATGTTGCCTAGCGTTTCAAGCAGGACTCACGCTGTAACGACCCGCCCGCTCGACCCGCCCGTCGGGGCCTGCCCGCCCGACCAGCTGGTTAATGACTGCAGTCGCCGCTCGCTGCCCTTCGCCCGCCTTCGATGCCCCTCGTTGCCCGCACTGGTGCCGCGGTCGCCGTTGCTCGCTGCCCATCGTGGCCCTGTTTCTGCCCTCAGTGGCTCCGTCGCTGCCCGTTGTGGCCTCGCATTATATGCCCTTCGTGGCCCCCGCTCGCACGCGCCCGTCGTGGCCCCATACGCATGCCCTTCGTAGCCCCGCTGTCGCCCTTCATGGCCCCCTCGCTGCCCTTAGTGGCCCCTTTGCTGCCCTCAGTGGCCCCGCTGTCGCCCTTTGTGTCCCCGTATACGAATGCCCTTCGTGGCCCCCGCTCGCTCGCGCCCGTCGTGGCCCCATATGCATGCCCTTCGTGGCCCCGATGTCGCTCGTTGTGGCCCCCTCGCAGCCCTCCGTGGCCCCGGTGCTGCCCTCAGCGGCCCCGTCGCTGCCTTCTGTGGCCTCGGATTTTATGCCCTTCGTGGCCCACGCTGGCTTCTCTCACGATTTACTTAGGAATCGCGCTATCGCTCCAGACTTCCTCGCGATTCATGCAGGACCCACGCTTCAGCAACCCGCCTGCTCGACCTTCTTCGCCTGGGCCCGCCTTCCTGACCTGCCCGCTATGGGTCTGCCCAGCAGATCTGCCGTCTGGTTCTACCACTTGTTTTCTGCTCCTTGCCCCCCTCCTGCTAATTTCTCGCGTGCTCCATTAATATTTCCCTCCCCCTTTCACCCGTCCTCCCGTCCATTGTTTTAGGGGCTGCACTACATATACGTGGTAGGTAAGGAAGATATGCCTCTGAGGGGGTACGATCGAAGACGACGAGGGCACGCACCGAGGGTTTAGGACATACGTATTGATTCGCACGTGAGCAGATAGGACCGAACAGTCTTAACATGATTGGTGCTGTTGCCGTTGTTGTTGTTGTTGTTGTTGTTCTTGTTGTTGTTGAATATTATTACTTCTAAAGAATAATTATTGTTGGGCCCCCTGGTGCACGCCCCCCCCGCCGCGCCTAGGCCGCAGCCACGTTTTCATCATTTTCGTGAGGAAGCCTCAGGTAAAACGATGTGATCCAGATCCGGTTGTTTTGTTGTAATCCGTTTTCCCTTGCAAAAAACACTATAAAATGACATTTCTTGTTCTAATATAATCAAATTTCAAGAATCCCTTGCAAAAAATAAGGTAAAGTGGACATTCGCGCGCGCAAGACGAAATCCTTCCAAAAGCTTAGTGTTCGGAGCGATTTTAACATAAAAACATCAAAAAACCAATGGTTTTTCAACAAAAAAATGTCAAAATCTCATCCCGCGCGCTCTTGCGGATTCGTAGGAAACCCAACACTTTTTAAACATTTCTGTCAAACGGGCTTTTGCGAGCAACTTTTTCGAACTTCTGCGACAACGGTTGCGCACCTGCCAGGGCCATCATCCCTGTCAAATAATACCATGCGGGACACATTCGTTTTTTCTTCGCGCGCGCACGCCGTCGTCGTCGGCCGCGGGGCCCTGAATAGTAGCCACGGTCGTCCGCATGCCACGAAGTGAAGTGTCCGAACGTCATAGGGCGGGAAGCTGGGTGTGGGTGGTGGCGAAGAGTCGTTTGGAAATTTGGTAGAGCTTGAACCGGCCCCCCCACAAAGTGGGGGTATTGCCCGCCTCCTATGAAAACCCTGGCACTGGTGAGAACGGAGTGTCCCCACGTGCTAGTAATTGTTGTTGTTGTTGTTGTTGTTGTTGTTGTTGTTGTTGTTGTTGTTGTTGTTGTTGTTGTTGTTGTTGTTGAATATTATTACTTCTAAAGAATAATTATTGTTGGGCCCCCTGGTGCACGCCCCCCTCGCCGCGCCTAGGCCGCAGCCACATTTTCATCATTTTCGTGAGGAAGTCTCAGGCAAAACGGGGGAGTCCGGATCCGGTTGTTTTGTTGACGCCCGCTTTCCCTGTCAAAAAACAATATAAAATGACATGTCTTGTTCTAACATAACCAAACTTCAAGAATCCTTTGCAAAAAATGACACGAAGTGCACACTCGCGCGCGCAAGATGAAATCCTTCCAAAACCTTAGTTTTCGTAGCGATTTTAACATAAAAACATGAAAAACCCAATGGTTTTTCAAAAAAAAAGTTTCAAAAATTCATCCCGCGCGCTCTTGCGGATTTCTTAGGAAACCCAATACTTTTTCAACATTTCTGTCAAACGGGCTCTTGCGAGCAACTTTTTCACGTGCTTCGAACTTCTGCAACAACGGTTGCGCGCATGCCAGGGCCATCATCCCTGTCAAATAATACCATATGGGACACATTCGTTTTTTCTTCGCGCGCGCACGCCGAAATCTTCAAACACCATTGGGTTTCTTAAGAATTTCAGCACCGCGTATCATAAAATCGCACGAATCGCACCGTAGGTCCTCGAAAAACACGTGCACGGATTTTCCAAATTTCTACCCGCGCGCGCTGTCCGAATCCTTAAAAACAAATGGTTTTTCAACATTTATGTTACATGAGCTCGCGCGAGCTACTTTCGCACGCTCTTTCAACGGCGTTCGCGCGCCTGCCAGGGGCCACAATCCCTTGCAAAAAATACCATGCGGGACACATGCGCGCGTCGTCGCGTCGTCGTCGTCGTCGTCGTCGTCGGCATGTTACCACAACAAGTCCGTGCGTCACCACGTCATCGAACAAAATCACTGATCACTGTCACATCCGTAGCCATCTCGGATCAAGGTATCGCCTGTGTTCTTGGATGGGTCATGGCTTTGTCGGCGAAAGCCCTTGACGACCAGTATGGCCCAGAGCTGTCGCGGCCTCCCTTGGCTGACTGCGGCAGCCCGTATCATTTGCATCAGGCGCTCGTTGCAAAGGGTATCCAGGCCAGTCACCAGGCGTGCAAGACTTGGTGGTGCAAGTATCGGGTTGTGCCTGGCAAGGTCAGTATTTCTAGCGCCAAGGAGCTGGAGGAGCAGCACGGCTCTGCCATCCGCCACCTGGGCATCAAGGGTTACCACAACAAGTCACTGTACCCATGCGCCAGTGTAGTAGCCAAGGTCGTCCGCAGGCCACGAAGTGAAGTGTCCGAACGTCATAGGGCGGGAAGCTGGGTGTGGGTGGTGGCGAAGAGTCGTTTGGAAATTTGGTAGAGCTTGAACCGGCCCCCCCACAAAGTGGGGGTATTGCCCGCCTCCTATGAAAACCCTGGCACTGGTGAGAACGGAGTGTCCCCACGTGCTAGTAATTGTTGGTGTTGTTGTTGTTGT